ACTAGGCTGGAGGTCAGTGGCATGATCTCGGCTCACTGCAACCTCTACCTGCCAGGTTCAAGCAATTCTCTTGCCTCAGCCTCCTGAGCAGCTGGGACTACAGGCACACACCATCATGCCCAGCTAATTTTTGTATTTTTAGTAGAGATGGGGTTTCACCATGTTGGCCAGGATGGTCTTGATCTCTTGACCTCGTGATCCACCCGCTGCAGCCTCCCAAAGTGTTGGGATTACAGGCGTGAGCCAGTGCACCAGGCGTTATAAAATATCTTTATAGGTTATAATTTAACTAAAGGTATAACTTTTTAAGTTATAATTTATTTAAACTTAGAACTCAGGGAAAATGTGACTTTTGATATATAGGAGACTTACAAATGTTACAGTTACTTAACATGTATTTATTGTCTCTTCTGTTCAGGTCAAAATGCTTTGATTGTACCCTATTTATTCAGATTGTCTGTTCAGCTTGCCCAGGCTTGATGAAAGGAATCAAGTGGTGTCTAGATGTACTGTCAAAAACATACCTGTTTTTTTCACTATTTGAGGCCTTATGAGAAACGTTTGAAAACTTTAGTTGTATGCCAGAACTTAACATCTTTGAAGAGGTTTTAGCATGGGTGGGGAATGATTCGTTTTTCCCCCACGCCAGAAGTCGTCACACCTTTGGTTTAGTGTTGAGAACAGAGTGCAGATTTGTAGCAGCAGCTGTTTGAAAATACTAGTTCATGGTGGAGATTTCAGTGAGCCAAGATCATGCCACTGCCCTCTACCCCGGGCGACAGAGCCAGACCCTGTCAAAAAAAAAAAAAATTTTTTTTTTTTTTTTGTTTGAGAGAGAGTCTTGCATTGTTGCCCAGGCAGGAGTGCAGTGGCGCCATCTTGGTTCACTGCAACCTCTGCCTCCTGGGTTCACGCGATTCTCCTGCCTCAGCTTCCTGAGTACCTGGGATTACAGGTGCAAACCACCATACCTGGCTAATTTTTTGTATTTTTAGTAGAGATGGGGTTTCACCATGTTGGCCAGACTGCTCTTGAACTCCTGACCTTGTGATCTGCCGGCCTTGGCCACCGGAAGTGCTGGGAATACAGGCATGAGCCACTGGCTCTTTTTTTTTTTTTGAGACGGAGTCCCACACCGTCACCCAGGCTGGAGTGGTGCAGTGGCGTGATCTCAGCTCACTGCATCCTCCGCCTCCCGGGTTCAGGTGATTCTCCTGCCTCAGCCTCCTGAGTAGCTGGGATTACAGGTGCATGAGGCCACTCCCAGCTAATTTTTTGTATTTTAGTAGAGACGGGGTTTCACCGTGTTGGCCAGGCTGGTCTCAAACCCCTGAGCTCAGGCAGTCCACCTGCCTCGGCCTCCCAGAGTGCTGGAATTACAGGTGTGAACCATCGTGCCCGGCCTAATTTATTTATTTATTTATTTATTTATTTATTTATTTATTTATTTTTTTTTTTGAGACGGAGTCTTGCTCTGTCACCCAGGCTGGAGTGCAATGGCCGGATCTCAGCTCACTGCAAGCTCCGCCTCCCGGGTTTACGCCGTTCTCCTGCCTCAGCCTCCCGAGTAGCTGGGACTACAGGCGCCCGCCACCTCGCCCGGCTAGTTTTTTTGTATTTTTTAGTAGAGACGGGGTTTCACCGTGTTAGCCGGGATTGTCTCTCGATCTCCTGGCCTCGTATCCGCCCGTCTCGGCCTCCCAAAGTGCTGGGATTACAGGCTTGAGCCACCGCGCCTGGCCATTTATTTTTAATTAAAAAAGAAAATGACTATAATCCCAGCACTTCGGGAGGCCAAAGCGGGTGGATCACCTGAGGTCAGGAGTTTGAGACCAGCCTGGCCAAAATGATGAAGCCCTGTCTCTACTAAAAATAAAAAATTAGCCGGGCATGGTGGCGGGCGCCTGTAATCCCAGCTGCTCAGGAGGCTGAGGCAGGAGAATCGCTTGAATCTGGGAAGTGGAGGTTGCAGCGAGCCGAAATCACGTCATTGTACTCCAGCCTGGACAACAAGAGTGAACCCTTCATCTCAAAATAAGTAAATAAATAAATAATAAATTTTAAAAAATGAAAATACTAGTCCATAACAGTGGACTTTTTTCTCCAAATTCTCCTTTTGCTGTATAATGTCATTTTATGCAGAACTTTAAAAAATTTATACTGATACATGGCCAGGCGCAATGGCTGACGCCTGTAATCTCAGCACTTTGGGAAGCCGAGGTGGGCAGATCACTTGAGGTCAGGAATTCAAGACCAGCCTGGCCAACATGGCAAAACCCCATCTCTACTAAAAATACAAAAATTGGCCGGGCACAGTGGCTCACACCTGTAATCCCAACACTTGGGGAGGCTGAGGTGGGCAGATCACGAGGTCGAGGTCAGGAGATCAAGACAATCCTGGCTAACACAGTGAAACCCTGTCTCTACTAAAAATACAAACAATTAGCCGGGTGTAGTGACGTGCACCTATAGTCCCAGCTACTCGGAAGTTTGAGGCAGGAGAATCGCTTGAACCTGAGAGGTGGAGGTTGCAGTAAGCTGAGATCACGCCACTGCACTCCAGCCTGGGCAACAGAGTGAGACTCTGTCTCCAAAAAAAAAAAAAAAAAAAATTAAAAAAATTAGCGGGGCATGATGGTGCACCCCTGTAGTTCTAGCTATTCAGGAGGCTGAGGCAGGAGAATGGCTTGAACCCAGGAGGTAGAGGTTGCAGTGAGATGAGTTGAAGCCACTGCACTCCAGCTTGGGTGGCAGAGTAAGACTGTCTTAAAAAAAAAATTTTATACTTATACACACTGAATACCTGTAATATTCTAGCACTCTAGTTTTGTTTTTGTTTTTTTTTTTTTTTGTTTTTTTGGTCACATTATATTAATGAAGGATTTTTAAATTTGGGGTTTAAAAATACGTGACTGCAGATAAAAATCATTAAAGAAAACAGCTGGGCGCGGTGGCTCACGCCTGTAATCCCAGCACTTTGGGAGGCCGAGATGGGTGGATCACGAGGTCAGGAGATCGAGACCATCCTGGCGAACACGGTGAAACCCCGTCTCTACTAAAAAATACAAAAAAACTAGCCGGGCGAGGTGCCGGGCGCCTGTAGTCCCAGCTACTCGGGAGGCTGAGGCAGGAGAATGGCGTGAACCCGGGAGGCGGAGCTTGCAGTGAGCCGAGATCTGGCCACTGCACTTCAGCCTGGGCGACAGAGCGAGACTCCGTCTCAAAAAAAAAAAAAAAAAAAAGAAAAGAAAACAGAAAACGTAGGAACATATCTAGGTGAAACATGAGGGGCACAAAGTCAAGGCCAGAGGCTGTTGTGTCTGACATTTTTGTTTATTTGTTCCTCTTTGGAGCTGGGAGAAAAGAGATGATTTATTGACCACCCAGTATTTTTTGTTTGTTTGTTTTTTAAACATAAAGATCATGAGTGAATTAATAAATAGAGAGGCATGTCAGAAAATCAGAAAGCACCTCCACGTCTGTGTGTGCGGGTTGTTAAACCTGCCTCACAAGTGAATGAAGAGGAAGAGTCTTCGCGACAGCATGCAAATTCCAAGTTGCTCTGCATTAGTAAGATGCATAGAACCTTCTAAAATGTAGGAATATAGTGGCACACCATTAAGCCATACATAAATGCTTTGGTATATTTGCCCCACATGTAGCAAACACCATGTTTCTCTTTGTGGTAATGGAATTTGTCTTCTTAAATAGCACCTTGTAGTTCCAGTTTTTCTGGCACTAAGTTCCCAGTAAACATTTATCATCCAAATAATTGAGAACCATTTCTGCCTAATTTCATACTTCACACTTTCCAAGAATGCTGAATCACAAAATAAAAGTCTTAAATTAGGAAATTGTCAACAATAGAAAAGCCTTCAGAGAGAGTTTTTTTTTTTCCCCCCGTTTGTTTGTTTTGAGCCATAGTCTCGCCCTGTCGCCCAGGCTGGAGTGCAGTGGTGTCATCTCGCTGTTCCTCCGCCTCCCGGGTTCAAACGATTCTCCTGCCTCAGTCTCCCGAATAGCTGGGATTACAGGCATGGCCACCACACCTGGCTAATTTTTTGTATCCTTAGTAGAGACAGGTTTCACCATGTTGGCCAGGCTAGTCTCGAACTCCTGACCTTGTGATCCACCCACCTAGACCTCCCAAAGTGCTGGGATTACAGGTGTGAGCCAATGTGCCTGGCCCAAAGAGTGTTTTTAAATGTTCAGAAGGGCTTGGTTTATCAGCTGAAGACTGGTTTTATTCCATTTTTGTTGTTTCTTTCTGCCTTCAAGCAGATCTGTCTCCCGGTGGCAATAAATGTCACCTGTTCATCCATACTTACAGTTGTCTCCTTCGATGACTGGCATAATAAATGTTATTAATGACAGACTTGAGTAAGTTAAATTAAATGCCCAGATCTTCAGGAATTCAGTAGGCTCTAATAAGATGCTATACACAGTGTAATTTTCCCTGTCGTAGAACTAACTCCAAAAAACAAATAAATATGTTTGATTTTTCAGATGTAATTTAGATGCCAGAAGGAGACCAGAATTGGGGTCTGTTTCTGCTGTTTAGCCTTACACATGACTCTTCAAGTATTCCTTCATCTTCAAAGTGTAAAAAATAATGGTATCTAGTTCATAGGGTTGTTTTAAAAAAATAAACAAAATAATACCATGTAAAATGCTTACCACTATGTTCAGAGCATAACGCGTACTCAAGACGTTGTTTAAAACAAAAGGAAATCCCTGCATGCATGGGGTCTGTGTTTTCATCTTTTTCTTGTCCTTTGAGTATTTCAGTCTCCTGAGGTCCTCTGGAGTAAGTGCGGTGTTAAGGGTGGGAAGTCCTCCTGCAGTCAGTGCGGGTAGCCTCTAGAAGCTGATGCCTTTCTGTAAGGCAGAATCGATTGGTTCCAAATAACCCAAAAGAGTACATGCATAAAGAGATGAAATTGACAAGGAGTTTTCTCTTTATATACTTGCTTTCTTGCTTTATTTTTTTTGGAAAACAGTGTCTTCCATGAAGAAATGATGAAGATGCGACAGGCTAAACTGGATTATCAGGTGAGCAGAGTCTCCTCTTTTGAAATAGGTGGCCAACTATACTGGCCGTGATGCTGGTGGTCTTGGCTCTGAATCCTTGGCAGGGCTATGGAAAGAAGACTGGCAAGGAGAAGGCTCGGGTGGTTACCTATGAAGCAGTGTCTGGAGTTAGTGGTTGCTGAACCAAGGCTCTGGGCTATGGCAAGACCAAAGTGCTTTGAGGATGTCAGCAACAAGACTGGCCTTGGATTTACAATCACCAGAAATTCCTTGGTGCCTTTCTTTCTGAGGAATTAAAAGAATGTTAACATTGTATTTCTATGTAGTAATTTGGTTCTGCTACCTTAAGTACCTCTCTACAATGTAATTTCACTCACACTGTAATTTCACAAGATGGTGTTCTTATGCTAAAATGCAGATCCGAACTTGCTACTGCTGCTTTAAAATCTCCATCGCATGGCCAGGCGCGGTGGCTCACGCCCGTAATCCCAGCTCTTTGGGAGGTTGAGGCAGGTGGATCACGAGGTCAGGATATCGAGACCATCCTGGCCAACATGGTAAAACGGTCTATACTAAAAAATACAAAAAATTAGCTGGGCATGGTGGCAGGCGCCTGTAGTCCCAGCTACTCGGGAGGCTGAGGCAGGAGAATGGTGTGAACCCAGGGGGCAGAGCTTGCAGTGAGCCGAGATCACGCCACTGCAGCCTGGTGACAGAGCAAGATTCTGTCTCAAAACAAACAAAAAATCTCCTTCACAAAGAGGATAATTTTCTTCACAGAGCTGCTGGCACATTTAGTTTGTTTTCTCCATTACACTAAGCTCTGTGAGAGCAGGAGCCAAGCATGTTTTGGATAAACATTATATCAGAAGTTCTCAGCACGGTGCTGGACATGTAGTAATCTTTCATTAAGTATTTGAACAAAGGAAGGAATAAATGAACGGTTTTCTGTTGTTACATGCTGTGATCATCATGTTCAGATAGCTTAGAACCTATACCCAACATACATTGTATTTATATTCGCTTTTTTCTATGAATCTATTCGAATTCAGCAAATTCTGTAGCTAGGATCGTTAACAGTCAAGATGTCTGGATTCAGTAGGTGACTAAAAGTCTCTAAAGTTTTGTCTTCTCTTCTTTATGTGGTTGGTGGAACTAATAATGGGACTTCTAGCCTAATAAATTATTTTAGAGGTGGAATTACTGAAAACTAAGCAACAACTAAATTACTGTGATTGTGGAGAAGATTCTGTTACACACACACACACACAGACTTATCCCTCTGCCCGCAGAGATCACAGTAATTGGGATGAGCCCTTTATTTTCTTCATTCCGTTGCAGAGCAAATTGTATTTAGGGAGAAGTGGACACAAAAATGTAGATCTTTGATTTATTTTTACTCATTTTTATTCTTAGGCATCCTAGTATTGTAAGGCCCAATTTTACCTACTTTGTTAACATTAGGTAACATCTATGGTTCATCTATCAATCATGTTCTGAGACATTAGTCTTTACGTTTTGTATACAGATACATTCTCTGAGTTTTTTTTTTAAAGGTGGCCCTAGTAGTTTGTAATTGTATTCTTTTCATTGAAAATACTACATGTGGTATAAATGTTGTAACTTTTGTAAGCCTTTTTATAGCACAATTTTTAAAATTATGTTTTTACATAGGTCATAAAAACATAAGAATTCAAATAATATAAGATAGATATTTGATGAAAAGATCTCTGTCTTCTTGGCTCAGTGCTTTGTCAGTGGCTGCCACTGACTTAATATATTACATCTTCCAGAGAGAGGGAATTTTTTATTTTTTTATTTTGTATTTATTTATTTATTTTATTTTATTTTATTTTATTTTATTTTATTTTTGAGACGGAGTCTCGCTCTGTCGCCCAGGCTGGAGCGCAGTGGCCGGATCTCGGCTCACTGCAAGCTCCGCCTCCCAGGTTCACGCCATTCTCCTGTCTTAGCCTCCCGAGTAGCTGGGACCACAGGCACCCGCCACCACGCCCGGCTAATTTATTTTATTTTATTTTATTTTTTGTATTTTTACTAGAGATGGGGTTTCACCGTGTTAGCCAGGATGGTCTGGATCTCCTGACCCCATGATCCGCCCGCCTTGGCCTCCCAAAGTGCCGGGATTACAGGCATGAGCCACCGTGCCCGGCCTTTTTTTTTTGTTTTTTTTTTTTGTTTTTTTTGAGTCAGTGAATTTAGAGACATAAAATTTTATAGGATTTTTTTTCACATGCCTGGTAGTATCAAAGGAATTTTTTGAAATTAAAAAAAAAATGTATCTTTGGATAAGATGTATAAATTTTGGTGTTAAATAATGTATGAGAAGGCCGGGCGCGGTGGCTCAAGCCTGTAATCCCAGCACTTTGGGAGGCCGAGATGGGCGGATCACGAGGTCGGGAGATCGAGACCATCCTGGCTAACACGGTGAAACCCCGTCTACTAAAAATACAAAAAACTAGCCGGGTGCGGTGGCGGCACTTGTGGTCCCAGCTGCTCGGGAGGCTGAGGCAGGAGAATGGTGTGAACCCGGGAGGCAGAGCTTGCAGTGAGCTGAGATCCGGCCACTGCACTCCAGCCTGGGCGACAGAGCGAGACTCCGTCTCAAAAAAAAAAAAAAGTGTATGAGAATATTGTTAGAGCCATGAAATGCCAACAGGTACTTGAGAAGGAAGTTACTCAGTAGGGGGTAAGGGAATTTCCACAAATGCAAGCTGAGCATTCAAATGGTGTATAACAACAAAGGCAGCACCACATAACGAAGAAAACATTGGGCTGGGAAACAGAAGGCTTTGGTTCTAGTTCTGGCTCTGCCATTATTCAGCTGTGTGATTTTAGGTAAAGTTCTTAAAGTCAGTTGGCTGCAGCCATTTCATCTGTAGAGTGAAGTTAGACTGGATAAAATAATAGAATGTTAGAATCTTCAGTGTCTAAGTTAGAGCCAAGATGGAGGCGTATTGAGGAAGCATAGGCTACAACTCAGCCCAGGCATCCCAGGCGGGCAGTATCTTGGTGGGAGCCTCACAGTCCAGAGTAGGCCAACCTGCCCAAGGGATACAGTGCACACCCCTCAGTGATGGTGGCACGTCCCAGCAGTTACCCTCAATGGAGGTGGGAGAGGCTGGGGAAACCCTGCCCAGATGTACATTAGATTAGACTCAGGAATTCTGCTATGGCAGTGTCCCTTTGGTTGAGTGTCACTGGTTGTGAGCTTTATAGGATAAGAAACAGCTAAAAACGGCCGGGCACGGTGGCTCAAGCCTGTAATCCCAGCACTTTGAGAGGCCGAGATGGGCGGATCACAAGGTCAGGAGATCGAGACCATCCTGGCTAACACGGTGAAACCCTGTCTCTACCAAAAAAATACAAAAAAACTAGCCGGGCGAGGTGGCGGGCACCTGTAGTCCCAGCTACTCGGGAGGCTGAGGCAGGAGAATGGCGTGAACCCGGGAGGCGGAGCTTGCAGTGAGCCGAGATCTGGCCACTGCACTCCAGCCTGGGCGACAGAGCGAGACGCTGTCTCAAAAAAAACAAAAAACAAAAAACAAAAAAAACCAAAAAAAAAAAACCAGCTAAAAACAACCAAAGTTAATCTGTCTCCTGAGGATTGGTTCATATTAGCCCGTCTCATAAGTGATGAATCTGAATCTGAGAATTACTTTCTAGTGAACCACATTCGAGAATTAGCTGGTCTTTACATTCCCAGTAGAAATATCTGTGGGAAGTTTGCAATCAGAACGTGGCTTGGTATATTCAAAATCAGAGCAGGTAGATTTGTAAAATGATATTTATAGTGACACATTAAAATATGATAGTATGATTAATTCGCCTCTTCTGAAGGGATATACCTACCCAAGGAAGGAGATTTGCATGTGCCCAGGACATTCTCCCTGCCTTAGTGCTAGAGACACAGGGTAGATCTTGTTCTTTCTCTTCCCTTAACTCATTCCTTTTTTTTTTTTTTTTTTTTTTTGGAGACAGAGTCTCCCTCTGCCACCAGGCAGAAGTGCAGTGGCGCCATCTCGGCTCACTGCAACCTCCGCCTCCTGGGTTCAAGCGATCCTCCTGCCTCGGCCTCCTGAGTAGCTGGGACTAAGGTGCACGCCACCACACCCAGCTAATTTTTGTGTATTTAGTAGAGATGGGGTTTCACCATGTTGGCCAGGATGATCTTGATCTCTTGACCTTGTGATCTGCCCGCCTTGGCCTCCCAAAATGCTGGGATTACAGGCGTGAGCCACAGTGCCCAGCCAACTCATTCTTTTATCATCTAGTTTACAGTATTATTGATCTGGTTACTGTTTGTTTCATATCTGTCATGTTTTCCTGATACTATAATCTTTTAATTTAATGTTTAAAGATTCTACATCTCCAGATCATTTACATGTGGCTATTCTTCTCCTATATAGATTTTAAACAGCTCTATTAAGATAAAATTCACATACCATAAATATACACGTAGGTGAAGTATACAAATGATTTTTAGATCTTATAAAGGGAATCATACAGTATGTGGTCTTTTGTGTCTGGCTGCTTTGACTTAGCATAAAGTTCACCCATGTTGTAAATGTGCCAGTACTTCATTCCTTTTTATCGCCAAATAACATTTTATTATATGGGTATACCACATTTTGTTTATCTGTTCGTCAGTTGACGGACGTTTGGGTTGTCTCCACTTTTTGCCTATTATAAATAAGGCTATTCTGGATATCTGCAAACAAGTTTTTGTGTGCACATGTTCTCATTTCTCTTGGTTATATATCTAAGAGTAGAATTGCAGGGTCATACTGTAACTCTGTTTAACATTTTAAGGAACTGTCAGACTGTCTTCCAAAAGGCTGAACCATTTTACATTCCCACTAGCAGTGTATGAAGCTTTCCGTGTTTTCACTTTTTTTCAGTTTTAATATGAAATCTTCATGAGTTTATGTGTCGTTCTTGTGCAGGGGCCATGCTAATCTTCTCTGTATCATTCCAGTTTTCACTATACGAGCAGCCAAAGC